TTCCTTGGTTCCCGAAACACCGGATATTGTGCGTGCGTATGCGAACGTAGTAAGTCGTGGCTTAGTCACCTCACCCCACGAGTGCATCTTTGAGCTCAATGTCAGTAATCCCGTCTAGTACCAGTGAACTACAACTGAAATTTGTTCGTCTGGAGCCTTACACGCATTTTGTTTGCCAAACGTCCGCTTCTTGTTACTTCACTGGGCAAAAAGCAAGCCGCATCCTCACAGGGTATCAAATTTGAGGCCAGCGTTTACGCATGAACTTTTAAGGAAACGCAATAAATTCGACCTCACTACTGCACAAAAGTTACTATGATGTCTTCCTCGTGTCATCATATATCTCCCACTCAAATTTTATGCTGATAGAAGGTTAACTTTTCGCAAACGCTGAGATCGGCTAGCTACGACGGAGGCCCTAACAAGCGTCCCCTACTCCTCGCTTAGCCTTTTTGGACGAGCTTTTACTGACGCCCGAGATCTGTGCCGGGAACGGTGTCTGAAATTATCTCGGCATACTCAGTCAGAGAGAAAGCAAACACATAACAAATATCATGGCCATTACCAACCGTCAAATGCGCTTTGAATTCGTTCGAGCACTTGTTTGAAGAATGTCGCACCGTGCGCCGGACGGGCATGAACCCCAATGCGGTGCGCATAGCGGTTCATGCCCGTCTGACGTACTTCCGGCGAACGGTGCGACATTCTTCACACAAGTGCTCGACTTTTGCATTCTTAAAACGGTCTGTGTGCGCGAATGTGCCTATATGATTTCAGGATAACTTTATGCGCATACGTGATGTTGAATATTAGTGAAATGCAAGCGGGTGGGGACTTCACTTCGTGCAGTGCTGCGTGTCAGTACAGATAAGAGATAAGAAGTGTTTTAAAATTGAGCTTTTCGATGGCACCTCCGAGTTTTACCTCGCATAATCAGGCACATTAAGAAGAACAGTAATTGCAAAAAGAAATATTTCGTCTATGGACGCACGAAGCAAACAAACTTTCTGATCAACAACACTAATGTAAAGGCGCGAGCTCGATATATGCATACTTATTGTTTGCTACAGCTTTTTGATTCGTACACAAGCAAGATCCCCGAGCACCCGAGCTTCGCAGCGTCGAGACTCCCAGCACTGGCTCGTCCACATACCTCGATTGGAGCGCCAACAGGAAGGCTCAAGTGCAAAAATACAACAAGCATGTGTTAAGACAAGCTATACGTCTCGGGCTTGTGCTAAAGCTTCGAGGTCTGGCCATTTAGGCTAGTTTCGAGACCACAAATGACGCTCTCGGGACCAGAAAACATTCTCTTGTCGACGTGTCGATCGACACCGAAACCATGCCACCCTCCTCCCTGGCCAACTAGTTCCCAGAGTGCAACGCGCGCCGTGTTGCATGCGGGGCTTTATGGAAGTAGTCTATTGTGGGCACCTCAGCCGTTATTTAAATCCGACAAATATGAATTCATGGGCCAGCGCGTCGGCTCAGAGACACCGAGACGATTTAATGTTTTGTGTTTTGTTTTAATATCATTGCTACTTAAGAGCCATCAAGGTGGTTTTTGAACCAAAATATTGTCGAACCATTCCGACAAGCATAGTTTGATTGCGAAAATGATTTTTGCAAGTGATAAAAACATTAAAATGTTTTCGCATACGTGGTGGAATCTGAGATGACAGAATGCATTTCATGGCGCCCATTTCATTTGGATCGCGTCGAGCATGTGAACCGACGCACAGTAGAACGCGCGCAAAAGTAGCTGTGCTGCACCCGCAGCCTCGCGTTTGTTGTTCTGACATCTCTGGCTCGCTCACTGCTAGCATCCAGGCATCTGACACCCTGACATCTGACGCTTTTTCTGTCTTTCACGTGGCGTTCCAAGCGGCACACGACGGACAATGCACATCAAGCTCATCTTGAACACGTGTCGCCATCTGTATTTTATAATAAGAAACTACAATTTGCCGTAACCGAATGGGAAAAGTTTGAGGTCTTATAACATTATTAACGTGTAATATATCAATATCGAAGTTCTGGAAATTGTAATATCGAAGGATGCTTCATAATTTATTGTCTCGTTATTTTAATTAGTTGACGTGATTCCGTTTTTACAGCGCCACGAAATAATACCATTTTAAACTTTATTTTTTATTTTAAAATATACATTATCTGTACAGTTCTTTGCTTATTTTTTTACTTTTTTTACATCCAACCGAACGCTCACGTAAAATATCGTGGACGATGGGACGTTATAACTCGAGAAATAAAATTTTCAATATTAGAGACTGTGGTCTATTAAAAGCTAAATAAATAACTAACCACTAAAAATAATCGTAATATCGAGACATTAAAGTATTGCTAAAGAGCAGCTCTTAATTTGACAATAACTTTATAAATGTAAGACACATAGAAAGAAAGTTATAAGCCGTCAAAAAAGCATAAAAGCGTCATGCATGGTGCGGTTGCACCTTAAGGCTACGGTGGGATGTGAGCGCGTGGTATTCTCTGTCTCGTTTTCTTCTTTCTGCTGCCTTTGACGCGCCCCAAGTGAGCGTGCCTAGTGACAGTTGAGAAAGAAGCCACCCTCGTGCCCGGCCCGGACGGCACGTGTGTTCCAGTCTGGTGCCTGTCTCATGCCTGTAAAGCCTTCAGCCAGTCAAGCCAGCCACCACTAACTCACTCTTAGCCCTATTACCTAACGTTTGTCTTTAATGTAAACATTTCTTATTCCTTTTTAAGACTCGGCCCTCATATCTTACATTAGCACCACCCGAGCTTCGCCCCAATTAACATCATTCACTGCGTGGAGATGCGGTAATTTTTCTAAAAGCCCCCGTGAACGCGATACAACTCGCACTCATAAAAATAGACAAGCTGATTTAGCTATACTCTGTTTCACCTTATGATGTACCGCAAAAAAGGCTACGAGAGCGAGCTCCTTGCTCTAGGGTACATCTCGGCGGCACGAGCTTTCGTGCATTAAGAGCAACTGCCAGCGCTATGAGCTCGCGCCTCTAGCCCTCGCTGCTGTACAACATAAGGTGAAACAGAGTATACGCGATGGATAAAACTGGTCACTGCAGACGCCGACACTCATGTTTGTTATGGATTAGAAAAAAATCGGAAAAGACGATCACGTTGTACCTTTACAAATATATTGAATCTATATAAATTATTTTTATCTCAGGCATAGACAGATATGTAAAAAATGGAAGCCCACCATGCTACGAAGAAGAATTTAACAACGAATATTACAGACGTCATGTCTGCAACCAATAAAAGCCGGAAATGGGTGTCTAGCTAACTACGCTAATTTCGATAATTTCGGCAAGTCTAGTGGCGTAAATATAGTGATAAACCATTTTTGTTTTTGTGGGAATTGTTTTGTAGAATACGTCTCATTTTTAGGTTCCTTAAACAATATTTTTTTAGTATCTCTTCAATGCCTAAGTTATCCGGATAAAAATTAATATCTTCTGATCGGCACATCGTTCGCTGACAAGGTCAATTCATTCTCCGACCAAATAAGATTTCAGTAAGAACATCAACGATATAAAAACATGCATGTGACTATATCAACAGGTTTTATCACATCACGTTAATCTGCCTTTTTATGGTTGTCAAAGAAATCAAACAACTCGTGCCGTACGGTAAAATCTAACGCCATTTCCATTGACAGGAATTAGGGCGTTTTGGAATAGAGGGCCTTAACATTAGAGGCTCCTGAGGAAGAGGGGCTCACCGATACGCATGCGTGAACCCAAGTTATCACTGTGTTAGCGCTCGTCCCTAACGCAAAATTCACGAGACTACAAAGAACGAAAAAAAAAAACAAAAAAACAACAGCAACAACATGGCGGCGTCCTGCATCACTTGCTTTAGAATAAAACCGTAACGGTGGCTGCACTATAAAGTACGTTCCTTGGTAACAAATGGCGCAGCAGACTTTCGCCATGCCTTACCTCGCTTAAACCACAAGCAAGAGCAAAGTTCCTGCCTTGATTTCTAGATCGTCTTCCAATTGTGGCCCTTCTTAAGCCTGAATAAACACAATAATTTTTTGACATGCCAGCGCCTCGAGAAGGAAAAACAAGAAAGTGCATGCATAATTGAATTGAAATCAATTAGGAGCACTTCGAACTTCGATACATCTAATGATTTGCAAAAAATGGGACGATTGGCATTTACCTTACCGAATGTTTGTGACGCAAGCAACACCGAGTGCTTGTTAAGTTCAAATATATTACATTTTTTAAGTATTTTTAACTCTAACCAATTCGAGTGTTAGCCGTAACGGCGCTGCAAGCGAGAGACGCAATCGTGTCAGCCTCCTTATTAAAACACTAGTCTATAAGCCGGCAGTGCGAGTGACGCTGCGTTCTTGCCCTCTATTTCTTAGGGGTCTTCTATTATAAACCTCCTTCTTCTCTGGCAGGTCAATCAGCGCGCGCCACTCCTGGCGCATGGAGGTGCACGTGCGACTTTCAAAGTGAAGATCGGGAACTGAATCGCAGTTCTTATAGTCAGTCGATGGAAGTGGCATTATATTTTACCGTGCGACATGGGTATTACAGTTTCAACGCACTGCAAATGATCTGGTACGAAGGTAGTCCATTGAATGCTTGCATTCTTAAGGTCAGGACAAAAAATGGCACGCCGAAATTTGCCAATAAAACATGCTCCAAGCTGTTTGTGATGTCTTCATACATAGCTAGACGCCCTGTTCAACGTTTTAACGCTCGTAGAATGAGGTTTTAAAACTGCCGTTGAAATATGTCCTAAAAAACACTCCAATAAATTGCCCCATTTTCCAATCCAAAACTGATCACCACTGATTATGCTGCAATCTAACGTAGATTATAAATTTATTTCCGAGGACTACTTCCGGCACAAGTTAACTGATCCGAGTAATCTAGGTGTCAACTCGGAAGTCAGGAAACATATGCTTGATTTTTCTTCCGCTGTTTTGACGCAGTATCTATTGGGTGTCAAGCCGATCACCACATGGAACACCTCTGTTCTGGATTCATGTGGGAGGTGGCGGAGCAATTGAAGGCCTTGGCAAAGTTCGCTTCATGCATCAGGGGTATGATGCACTTGGTGCGTACCAGCCCTTGACCGTACACGCTGTCGCTCAGCTCGCACATTTTGGCGCAGTGGGCCACGAAGAAAGTCTGGTCGGGGCTGAAGCGCCGACCGGGCAGCACCACTTTCCGCCTGGCCTCAGGGAGCTTCTGGAACGCCTTGTACGCGACGCTCAGGGACGCGACGTGGGCGAAGATATCCTCGGATGATTCAGCGTGTAGCATCACTTGCTGGTACGCCGCCTGAAATAGGTAATGCCGTTCGTGATCTAGGGCGTCCTGCTGATGGCGTTCGACAGAACACGGAAAATGCAGCCAATAAATTATCATTCCGAAATTTAATTCGGCCGCTGGCTTGCCATATCAACTAAATTCAGTGATCCTTCAGGGCGCATCATGTACAGTTTTTCTGTTTTTAGGTTTACCTACTCTGGGGGACACCACTCAATATAAAAAAAAATGAGAGGTAAGTCAGGAAAACAGTACATTTTACAAAGCAACCATTAAGAAGTCCGGCACTGAGGCTGACCCCTCAAATTCAATTCGAACACATTAAATTTTGCTTTTTCCTTTTCAGCTCTGATCAAAAGAGCCCGCAATTAACCCTTTCAAGCGATAGCTTTGTAGATATGAAACCGTCCACGAACCTTTCATGTTCGCCTTGGTCTGACAGTATGCTGTCATACAGGGTAATTCTGTCAAATGACGTCCCAGTGCCACGTAACATCATGATTTGGTGCCACACTAGCACATGAGGTGGTGTCACCATTTCTGCGCTAAATTTAATGGGAAATTATCTTCGCTAAAATCTGATAGAAAGTTCGGTTCGTTAAAAAACAAAATAAAAAACAAACGAAGCAAACAAACAAAACAAAACATTCCGCACCTTAATTTTTAATAAATAAAGATATACACGAAGCGAATCCTTGTTTATAGGGAGAACCCAACGTTTTGAGACCTAATCGGTCTTTTTACGGTTGCTCCCGAACCAAAGAGACCTCCTCGAATGTTCACTTTCGAGTTTTCACGCACCTTAATTGTAATTATCGTAATTTCCGTCGGGCAATTTTTTGATTGTATTCTTCACAGACTTCTGATATGAAGCATTTTGATTCAATTACTAGAAGGAATATTTAAATAACATTGCTTTACTTCCGAATAGCGCGTCCCGCATATGCTTCCGCAGGTTGCTCAAGCAACGACAGATAATACTTTAAAGACACAGGGTGCTTCAAAAAAGAAATGAATGCTTCGAGATAACATTATCCATTGTGGCGTCCTACTGGTTGATAATGTGAAGCTGTTAGAAAGTTAGTTACCTAAATTCAACTAATTAGATTTTGAAACATTAGCCGTAAAATATGGCATACATGTTGCTAAAATTCATAAAGCTAGGTTGTGCTCCGTTCAACACTCTAGAAAACATAAACCGAGATAACTGAATCTATACTTCGTTTCACCACCTTCCACTGGAACCTTGGACACCGAAGCCAATCCAATGCCACAAGAGTGCTACGTGATTTCCAGTTTGTGCGCAGCGTTCAACGAGGTAGAGGGGCTTAGAGCGATAAACCGGGGTTCCGGTCTGCACTCGAAAGTGACCCCCATAAGGAGGCTGCCATTGTACGCAAATTTGACCACACGTCACATGACCAAACCAAATACGTGACGTCACAGGAAAGATGGCAGCGCCTATGCAGCGGCTGGCCCCAGCTGGGCCGGAGCTTGTCGGATGCTTTGTTGGTTGTCGTTCGTCTCGGCGAGTTGATTTCAGACGCGGAAGCCGTCATATGAGGCCGGTTGAAAGCGAGTTCAGAGTTCAGCGTGGTGTTTGACGTAGGTATAACGTGAAAATACGGAGAAACGGTGTGCATTTCGCTGGTGACCGACCGGGATATTGCCACGGAAGAGACAATCTGACCTACGTTGCGCGGACCTCGGATTGATTCGGATACCGCTAGGATAAAATTTAAGGCGACGTTTCTGTGCTCTCGTTGACCATCGGAATCTTCGAGGTTTGCAGTGAAGCGTGTGCAATATATTTGGACTCACAGTTTAGCGACGGAAATCGCGTGAGTCGTGCCTGGCGGTGTGCAATCGCGGTGCAGCTTCGATCAAATGACCGAGGGCTCACTTCGGTTGTGCGGCGCACCGGAAGGCTGCCTTGAAGCTGGTAGTTCCCGTGCCGTGCTGAATGATGCTGTGCTGCTTACAAATTGTTCCGGCGTAGAAGTGCACTTTCACGGAGCACAGGTGTGCGGCGCACCGAAGAGCTGCCTTCAAGCTGGTAGTTCCTGTGCCATGCTTTAGGTGATGCTGTGCTGCTTCCGAAATTGTTCCGGCGCAGACGTGCACTTTCACGGAGTACAGGTGTTGCAGTTGGTATTGATCCCGCTGGTCAGTCGCACGTTTCGTCAACACAAACGTTTCATCCACACTCGTTACGCGAATTGCAAGCTGTCCGGACATTTCACCGAGCGTACGTTACGTACCCAGCTCACGCCGCTTTGTAGCAACAGTCTGCAGTGGCTCATTACCAGAAAAGTGGTCCCAGATCCATTTCAGTTCAGTTCGTCCACGGCAGTCGCCAAACCCCGAAGGAGAGGATTTATTCGGACAGAATGCCACTAAAGCAATGCAGCTTCTTCAGTGGTCAGGATAGATTCTCTTCTGCTAGTTTTGTTATACTGTCACGGATCCTTGTTCCAGTCCTATCTTCTATCAATATTCACTATTCTGGGACACTGCAGGTCATGCTCAGCTGTAATCGTATGTTCAGGTGGAGGTGCTGGGCACTTTACCCGTAGCCCTTCACTCTGTGTGAACCCGGCGGCTCTTCAGCCGAGTTACCCGATAATGGGACACGGCTGGCGGACTATTCTGCGTCTTATACCCCTGTCGAGCCGTAGGCAAAGTCCTGACCCGAGCCTGGCAGAACAACCGCAAGACGACCGAGTACCACAAGGAGTAACCTCGGAAATACACCACGAAGCACCTGAAATCCGAGCCAGTTGCTGCTACCAGGAAAAACCACCGGAATTCGGTCTCCTGTCAGAAAATCCGAACCTGACTAAGCCAACAATGACAAACCTGTAGCAGCAAACCGTGTCCCCTCCCACCATTGTTTGCATGCCCGTCGCAAATCACACTCCGACGCTTTTTCACGCAAGCTGTATGAAGACGTCAAGGACTGGATTGAACAATATGACAGTGTCGCCCGCCACATTGGGTGGACAGACAACCAGCTCCTGCAGAACCTATACTTCTCATGGAAGCAACTGCCGGCGCTGGTCTGAGAACCATGGATCCTCCTTAACGTCATGGGAAGTTTGCAAGATCAAGCTGAAGCGCGCATCCGTCAGCCAACATCAACGAAAGAGAGCCGCATTCTTGATTCTGCCCAGGACACTGCCCCAATGAGAGCGCCACCGAACTCGTGGAGGATGTTTTGCGCTTGATCGAGCGCCCACGCCCACGCCGACCTTGATGCTACAGAAGACAAGAACCTAAGAATCCCATGCGCCTCACGTGAGGGACAACACCTTCGGCAGCCTTGTCCGCAACCCCCCAACAACAGTCGAAGTGTTCATATCACTGAGGCTTCCAACATGGAATGTGCACTGCATGCCCGAGCCTGCCACTATGAACAACTTCCCGGCGTCTCGACACTCGAGTTGTCCAGCTACTACTTCGACGCCAGCCTCCCAGGCATCCACGACATCACCCATGACGTTGTCTGGGAGGAGATCAGGAAGCTACTTCCTGCCATCAGTTGCCCGGCTTTTATTTTGATTGCCGAGATTGTTTCGGAACAAGTTTGACAGGTATTTCAACCGAGACTTCTGCGAGCGAAGCGGCATCTGACAAACCAAGGGCAACTTACGCCACAATGGCACGATGACCGCCACCGGCTGCCCCTTAGTATTCAATGCCAATTCAATAAGACACTCTAACGCCGAAGCATTCCCGACATCGTGTGTAGGACTGCGCTCAACAAAGTACACCGAGGAAAACGTAGGTAATGCGAATGTGCGACCGAAAACCACTTTGCTACCACTGCATGACGCCGACCATATCTACCAAAGCAGCCCATACCAATGAATTCGTCGGCGAGGGTTCCTGCCAAACAATCTTCGATTACGTCTCGAGGAGCGACCACGGGAGATTAAGGATTACCTTCGGCGACCTTTGTCCCTGATGCCGAAGGTGCTGAATCGAAGATTCTGAATCCCTGATTACCCCAAAGCTCCTCATGACCATCACATCAACAAGAGGTAAGCACGACAAAGCAGGTGAGCGGCGATGCAGTGACAGTGGATTTGGTGTCGGTTGTCGTCCAAGGACAATACCTAAAAATTTGCTGACACCAATTTTCTGTGTCCACTCTACACAGCACACAATTTCCAACTTTGAGGGAGAATGCCCCTGAGTGACTTGAAGGAATAGAACGGTTGGTTGCTCTCAAAAGTGAACTGCAAGCATCACCAGACTTGGATAGCAAACAAAAATTGTTGCCAGCTTTCAAGTCAACGGTGCAGCAAAAAGCACAGTCACGTAAGCAATACATGCCCGAGCTTGCTACATTGATGCCGAAAACTACCAGGAAAATTTTCGGATTAGAAGCAAGCCCTGCAGCTTCAGTGCACATGACGTATGATTACAAGACAGCATCAGTCGGTCAAAGTTGCCACTCGACCAAACTGAACACCGACGTGCCAGGAGCGTCATCCGACAACAGGGTCCACAGGTACCACGACTGAACGCCTGACACGAGACTGCCGCAGAAAGAACTCGTTATGGAACTATTTACTAAGAATCAATAATTATGTAATCAAGTGGAAATAAACATATTTGATACACTAACCAGATAAACATATTTCCGCTTGCCTTCATGCCTTGAGTCTACACACCGAGAATTGTGTCCATTGCACGCTCTGGACCCTTCAATATTAATTAAGGGGTCATACCAGACTGGCAGACTTTTTGCAAGGGGCTGCACTCGTTCAACTTTTCCTGAACATGTGGTGCATCCGAAAACCAACTCCAGTGATGTGAAAATGTTATTTATTAATTTATTCCTTCCAGGGGCCTTCGTAGGCATTGCAGAGAGGATACTTAAAGCTACACACATGATAATAGCATTAAAGCACACTGCTGTAACTTGTTAATTGGAAAAACAAACACACCTCTGAGCATATAGTTTAGTAGTATGTGTTGATGCATTGTTATATAGCATGACACTT